AGATCAAGGCCAATGAGTTTTGCGTGTTTTTTTTTTTTTTAGGGATTTTTAAAAATATATTTATTTATTTTAGAGAGGAGGGGCAGACAAAGGGAGAGAATCCTCAAGCAGACTCCCCACAGAGCACAGGGCCCAGTGCGGGATTCCATCTCAGAACCCACAAGAGCCGAAACCAAGAGTCGGATGCTTAACCAACTGGGCCATCCAAGCACCCCAAGGCCATCAGTTTTCATTGGATCCAGAGTCCAACAAAAGACAAGGTTCTGTTTTCATCACCTTTAAAGAAGAGAAACCTGTGAGAAATATTCTAGAGAAGTTCCACACCATCAGTGGAAGCGAGGTGAGGAGTCTCTGGCTCCATGTGCCTGCCTTCCCGCCTCTGGAGAGCTAGCCTTTGGATTACAGGGAACCCAGTAAGGTAACCAATCATCCCGATTTAACACTGAAAGTATCATGTTCTGGGAAACCTTTCCTGGAGGAGTATGAAAGGTCCTGGTTTGGGCAATGAGTGTGGAAGACTGGAGGAAAAGTCCAAAGCCCATACAACAACCCCAAAAGAGGGGCTGAGAGCAACACTGTCTTAAGTGTCAAATGGATATGGCAGGGATGATGCACCTTCTGTAGTTGCTGTTGGCCCCTTTCCCCCGGACCACTGATGTTGTCAACCACAGTTTGCAGTTGACACTAATGATTGACCCATCCACGGTTGCATGATGAGAGGGACTTCGATGTGTCATAATCAGTCTGTCCTTGACTTTCCCTGAGGATGAACTGTTGTGATGTGTATAAGGATAGGCTAGTTTAAATTTTTAAACTTGTGAATATTGTTTTCTAAGAAGTTAATGAAAATGAGAACAATTATAATACCAACACAAGCATGATCCCATCACCAAAAAAGACTAAGTGGACCATATTATTTTAGTGACAAATGGAAGCAGACCTGGAACTGGATCAGGGAGGTAAATAACCAAAACAGAGCATACTGCACAATGTGCAGAAAAGAATTTGGGATCGGGCATGGTGGAGAAGGGGATGTGCAAACACATATGGAGACTGAATCTCACCAGTCCAGAATAAGACAGGCAAGTGACTCTAAACCCATCAAAAGTGTTTTTATTCCCCAAGAAGATATCAGTTCAGTCAAAAATAGCAGCTGTTGGGGCGCCTGGGTGGCTCAGTTGGTTAAGCGAGTGCCTTCAGCTCAGGTCATGATCCTGGAGTCCTGGGATGGAGTCCCACATCGGGCTCCCTGCTCAGCAGGGAGTCTGCTTCTCCCTCTGACCCTCTTTCCTCTCGTGCTCTCTCTCATTCTCTCTCTCTCAAATAAATAAATAAAATCTTTAAAAAAAAATAGCAGCTGTTGAATTAGCTTGGGGATACTACACAAACCAACATGCATCATCCTATGGCTCCCTTGATTGCTCTATGAAACTGAGTAAGTTACTTTTCCTGACTTAGGGGTTGCAACTAAAATATCCTGTGGGCAAGCAAAGGAGAAACACTGATAGCAGAGGTGTTGGCCCCTTACAGTGTAGAGCTGATTTTGTCCTTTGTCACCAGCCATCATGCTTTCTACAGTCTATGCACTGAACCATGGCAACAAAAAAAATGTTTCCTCTTGGGGCGCCTGGGTGGCTCAGTCGTTAAGCATCTGCCTTCAGCTAGGGTCATGATCTCAGGGTCCTGGGATCGAGCTCGGCGTCGGGCTCCCTGCTCAGCAGGAAGCCTGCTTCTCCCTCTCCCACTCCCCCTGCTTGTGTTCCCTCTCTCGTTGTCTCTCTCTCTCTGTCAAATAAATAAATAAATAAATACATCTTAAAAAAAGAAAGTTTCCTCTAGTTCTTAGGTCCTTTGACTTGAAAAATGGGATTTCAAATTGACTTCCATGCCAGTGGAAGAGCTGATACAGACTGAGTTTAGAACGTTGTTTGAAAACGAGGATTAGGCTCAGGATCCACAGAGCACTCACTGAGGGGTAAACATCCCGTGAGGTCCTGCCTGAGCGGCCAGTCAGCCTCTCAACTGTGCTCTGCTCTTCTCCAGTTCCACCCATACACAGCTTATGAAAGCCTGTGTTACTATACACTGGGAGTTCTTCAAATCCAAAGGGGCCTGAGGATGGAAATCAGGAGATCTGAGAACATGGATGGAGAAAAGAAATTTCTATCTTCATGAACGTCTAAATATAGTCTAGCATTTCTTTCATAGGCAACAAACCACCGCAGTATTAGTACCTGTGACTGTCATCACTAGGAGTCACAGATGCTGGCATGTTCCAGATACCTCAAAATATTGTTTAGGTGCAGCACTACTTGGGAATTACGGTCATTATTATTCCCACTCTGAGATCTTGTAATAAAGAAGCACATCTATTAGACCACAGATTTAAATTTTTAATAATTTGATAACTGTATTTCAGTAAAATTGGCTTCCTTGGCAATCCTATGTTTTTTATTGTGTGTTTTTCCAGACTGCGAAAGGGGATTGATGGCACATCAGAGGGCCATCTGTCTCTGCCGTGGATCATAAATAGACAGCTTGACAAATAGGCAGAGTTGAATATACTTTGTGGCACCCTCGCCTTGTGCTCTAACTTTATCATTAGCTGACATATGAGTTGAGAGGACAGTGGCCCTTTTGCCTAAGAACCTTCGTGAACCCACATGTCCAAGAATATGGAATTTCCCATCATAGAGAGTTGTTCTTTTAGGTTTAGGTGAAAATGCCTCAAGTAGGAATATCATGGGACTGTTTCCAGCTTCTAATACCTCAATGACAGGGTGGAAGGGATCTCTCAGAGCACCTAGTCTGAGCAGCACCTTATAAATCCAGGCACTGAAGTCTGAGGTCACGGGCAAGTTATCTACTGGAGGTCATACCCGGTAAAGATACGGAGGCATTCCAAGAGGGTTTTTAGTTTTATTCCGGATAGGGAAAGTCCTGGGAGTCTGGAGAGAGAGGTTGGGGGAAGGATAGGGTAAAGATGGGCATAGAAGGGGATGGGAAGGAGAGCTGGCTATTATTGTATAAGGATACAAACATACTGACTCAAAGGGGCACATGCACCCCCAATGTTTATAGCAGCAACGTCCACAATAGCCAAAATATGGACAGAGCCCAGGTGTCCATTGACAGATGAATGGATAAAGAAGATGTGAGACAGGCGCCTGGGTGGCTCAGTCGTTGAGTGTCTGCCTTCGGCTCAGGTCATGATCCCAGTATCCTGGGATCAAGTCCCACATCAGGCTCCCTGCTCAGCAGGAAGCCTGCTTCTCCCTCTCCTGCTCCCCCTGCTTGTGTTCCCTCTCTCGCTGTGTCTCTCTCTGTCAAATAAATAAATAAAATCTTAAAAAAAAAAAGATGTGAGACATATGTGTGTGTGTGTATGTATATATATCGTATATGTTATATACATTATATACAATATTGTATATATTGTATATACAATTGTGTGTATACACACACACAATGGAATATTACTCAGTCATCAAAAAGAACAAAATCTTGCCATTTGCAACTATGTGGATGAAACCAGATGGCATTATGCTAAGCAAAATCAGTCAGAGAAAGACAAATATCATATGATTTCACTGCCATGTAGAATTTAAGAAACAAAACAGATGAACATCGGGGAAGGGAAGGAAAAATAAAATAAGACGAAAACAGAGAAGGGGGCAAACCATAAGAGAACTCTTAACTCTAGGAAACAATCTGAGGGTTGCTGGAGGGGAGGTTGGTGGGCGGATGGGGTAACAGGGTGATGGGCATTAAGGAGGGCACTTGATGGAATGAGCACTAGGTGTTATATGCAACGGATGAATCACTAAATTCTACCTCTGAAGCTAGTAATACACTATATGTTAATTAAATTAAATTTCAGTTTAGGAAAAAAAGAAAAGAAAGGAGATCTGGGACTTGGAGCCAAACTTCCCCCACTCCACATTCCAGTGCCTGCCATCAACTCTCCTGGGAACCTTCAGCAATCCTATCAACTTCCTGGGACCAACGTAGACTTCTCATAAGTGAGATAGTCACGTTACTTCCCTGAAGCACTTTCATGCACAAGGAATAGGTTCAGCAAACAAATCTTCACAAGATTTACTGTATATTCTTAGGGTCTTTTTCTTTAATATTAAGAAACTGCTATTATTCACAGCCCAGCAACACTCCTAGAGCTGCTTGATAACTCCTACATGACCGCCTTCTTCAAATCTCTGAAGGACTGTCCTAGAAGGAAGAGGGTCGGGTTGGCGTTAACAGTATGCGGTTTAGAAGGCAAAACTGGCCTGAGATGAGTTGTTGCCAGGAGGCACAATTCCAAATCCACTTAAGGTTCATTCCCGGGATCGGATTATCCCAGGACTAGACATGACTTAAAGTGCGTTTTCAAGTCTGTCGGTCTATACCTTTCCCCTCACATACTTAAGCCCAGCAAATCCTGGGCGTGAACGATAAAACCGGGATCCTGATCTCCCCTCCACATCTCCAGGACCTGCTAGCCAGTGTGATATAATGAAGGGAGCTCCGACTTTGAAACCAGACAAACTTGGGCTCTAACCTTTGTACCCCACTTAGGAGCTGAGACCGTGGACGAGTAAATCACTTCACCTGTCTGAACCTTAGCTCCCCCCACTGAAAATGGGGGTAATCTGCTGGCGAGAATCTAAAAGGCCTGGGTTGCTGTTGCGGTCGCACAAATGTCCCTTGACTGATGAATGAAACTCACGGTTAAAACTCCGCCTTCTGGGATCCCGGCTACACCCAGACCCACTCTCGGCGGATGCTTCTCAGTCCCGCCCCGTCCGGCAGGAGGCAGCAGACCCCAGTCCGGGTGCAGAGCCGGAGCCGAAAGCCCGGCAGAAGGAGCCAGAGGCGGTCGAGCGGACTGGCCTCCGGGTCTGGAGCCGGTGCGGGACACGCCCAGCCGAGGAGGGAGGGCGGGCAGTGGCGCATGCGCGCCGTGGGGAAGGCGCCGCCCGGAACCGGCAGGCCTTGCCCAGTGCCGGGAGGAAGCGCGCAGAATCGGGAGGCGCTGGCCGCGGGGACCCCTTCCCGACCCCAGGTACGAAGGTGGCCCGAGGCTGGCTCCCGATTTGCCTCCTTTGAGCCGCGGGGAGGGCTCGGGGCTGCAGGTGAACTGTACACCTCGCAGTCGAAAACTTGCCCTCCTGAATTTTCTTGTGAAGGCACAGATACGGGCAAAGATGCTGAGGACCTGGGGAGGATTTTGCAGGGGATGGGGGCTGCTTCTCCCAAGCGTCGCTTCTTTCCACCTCCTGGGAATTCCCCGAATGTCCTCCTTCCGCGGCCCTGAATCTCCCACCTGTTCTTCCTCCCTTCCTGGAGCTAGGGAGAGGCGGGGAAGGGATGGGGTTCTCGGACCATGGCAAAAACGCTTGGCAGTTTTAACCTTCCTAGTACCACCCAGACTTCACTCGAAAATGGTCTTTCGAGCCCCAAGGGGTGTAAAGGTAGGTAGCTTTTTATACAGTAGCTTACCGAAAATCTTAGTGGGTTCCCCAAATTTTGGAGGTCTAGGGGCAAGGCAGGGCCCTGTCACCTGGTTTCGTACACGGTGCAGTAAATCATTTTTGCTGCATTGCACCCAGGATGTTTTCTGGCCTCTCCAAGTACTGAGGTAGCGTTTGCAATGAGAGCATGTGATGCGAGGCGCGCATCGGCTCCCACTTCCATCGCTTTCCTTTGTGGTTCTGGTCATATGGTCCTGCCATGGAAATGGAGCAAGAGGGGTGATTGCTTTTTGTCTGCATTTTCTCTGTGAGTTCAGAAACTTCTTGCAAGGATTGGGAATAGATGTATTTTGCCTCCTTAGAATACTCAGTTCAGTAAGGAGATTAAGGGAACAGGCTGGTTCCTGGCAATAGAGCTAGACTGAGGGGTTGGTCAGTTACAAAATGTCTTCCTTGGGCAGAAGTTGTTCCTTTGGTTCATTCAGCAAGTATTTTCTACACACTCTGCCTTGGGCGTGGCTGTGAGCTTGGTGATGTGGGGAGGACAAAGATGAACTGAACTGGAGCTTAGCCCTGGCGGAGCTTGGCTGGGAGGGGAGATAGGGAGGGGAGCTCAACCCAAGTACCTCTATACCAGGTAGAAGGGAGTGCAGCTCTGAGAAGAGGGTCAGAAGACTGGGAGCTCAGAGGAGGGAGAAGAATCGGCCTTTCACATCAGGTGGTCGGCGTAAGGAGAAAATGAGATGCCCAGATTACTACCTGATGATGAGTGATCTCTCATAAGCTTCAGATGTGTGTGTAAAGGTGTCTTCCTCACTGTGTCAGCATCTTAGACTATGTCTCAGATAGAGCCCACCATTCCTGGATTCCTCCCTCCGCCTGCCACCACATGCCTACTGCTGGTCCAGTGCTCCCTGTCTCGGAGAGTAGCATCAAGGCCTCCCTTCCTCCCACCTCTCCTTCCTAGTGGTCCAAGCCAGAGACCTAGAGGTGAGTCATCTCTGACTCATCCCTCCCCCGCACTCCCCACATCCAGGCTGTTGATTCTACTTCACAAACCTCTCGGAGAGCTGACCCACCCTCCTTGCCATTGCTCCAGGCCAGGCCACCACCATCTCTTCTTGCTTAGCTCAGCCTCCTCCTTCACTTCGTCCCATGCCCCACTACCACTGCGAGGAAGCCCTTGCTAGAATTAAATCTGGTTGTGAGACTCCCTTCGTTCATCCCTTCTGCCCTTGAGACAGAACCCAGCCTCCCTCTACAGCACTCACAAGCGTCCTGGCCCTGTCTTTTTCCCCAGCCCCCTCTCTTCCCAGCCCCCCTGCACTCCTGTTCATTTTTGAAAACATGCCCTGCTTTCTTATGCCACTAGGCTTTTACACACGTTCTCTCTGCTGCCTAGAGCACATCCTTCCTTGCCACCCTCTTCACTTGGCTTACTCCCCCTCTCCCCAGGATCCCAGCCGGGACCCCATTTGCTGTAGGAATCCTTCCTTAGGCTCCCAAGTCCCCTGAGGCACCTCTTCTTAATATGGGGCCCATGCATCTCCTCGTAGGGCTCACCACACATCTGCCTCTGCTGTGCTGTGCTGTGCTAGAAGGCCAGAGCCAAGTCCAAGGGCTTTCCATGGCTTCCTACTGCCTTGCACAAAGAAGACGTTCAATAAATAGTTGTTAAGTGGAGCTGAGCATAAGCTGTAACATTATGATTTGACTCATCAAATGCCTGAGTCATAAAGTCACCCCATCTCCATTGTTTTCTCAGTGAGCTGGTATAGTTATGGCCTCACACATGTCAGGCTTAAAAATGGGTATAAGGGTGAAAGAGAAGAACAGTCATTATTAAAGCAGCTGGTATTTGTCGAGTGCTCAGTATGTGCAGGCGCTGTTGTAAGCACTTTTTGGTATTACCTCATTTAATCATCACAACTCTGCGAGGTAATTTTGTTATCCGTATTTTACAGATGGAGAGACGGGGTTGCAGAGAGATTAAGGAACATGCGCAATGTCACATAGCTAGTAAGTAGTGGTATCAGGTTTGGAGCCAAGCATACATTGTGGAATTCGATTAACTCTTAGGGAAAGGCAGTAGGTAGGACAGACCATGAGAAGCTGACAGGGCTGAAGATGGGAAGTCACCAGACGGAAGGCGGCGCAGTGTGGTTGCAGCTGGAAGCTGTGAGGCCAACAGAAGGGACTGATCCAGAACTTTACAAACCTGAAGGGCATTAGTTTCATCTGCATATTCATTTTTTTTCAGACCGCTGACTCCGTTATCAGAGGCATGATTGCTAGTGGTTAGGAATGAGACTTCTCTCAGTCTGAAACCTTGGTCCTGTTGCATGGCCTCAGGGGTATTGCTGGCCCTTTCTGTGCCGCAGTTGTCTCATCTGGAAAGTGGGGTAATAACGATAGGACTTACCTCAAAAGGTTGGGGTAATAATTAAACGGGCCAACATAAGGCTTTAGAAGGGTGCCTAGCACATGGTAATTGCTTGCAGACGTTGTCACCCCCATTATTGTGTGTTTATCCATCTGGCCGCCCGCGGTGGTTTTTTTTGTTTTTGTTTTTTTTTTTTTGATTGCACACATGTATTTAACAATACAAGTTTACAAAGGATGCTAAGAGCACTTTTCTTCGTATTTTACAAAGACCGGAAACATATGGACTTTCTATTAATATCCATATCGTACGTAACACAGCCAAATCTAATTCCTAGATAGACGCATTACAATTTGCTTAGACTTTGAAGGCTTAATGGCAATGATGAGGGGAAGAAAAAGAATTTATTTTACATAACTGAATGAAAAATAATTCAAGAAATAGTAAATAAAATTTAATATGGTCTCAGGCGCGCTGAAGGAGGTGGTGCCCGATTTGGAGGTGTGATTGCTATATCCAGAGAGTCTCCTATTTGGAACTTCTGCGACTGCAGGGTCATGGAGTCATCAGTCAGTCCCCTTCCTCCCAGACATGGTGCTGCCAATCTCCTTTACTCGATAGCCAGGCCTTTTAGGATCTGTAAAAACAATTGCAAAATTGAAGTGTGTGCCCTTCTTTCTAGCTTCTGGGTAGACTTCTTTTACTAAACTAGTCAACTCTTTCAAAGTTGCATCCATCCAAGTGTAGATCTGCAGCTCGCTGGACGGTACATTTCCGCGGGAAAACTCGTCCATTCGGTGGTGGCGGCCGTTATTGGTGGTGAAAACACGCAGCAGCAGCGGGCACGTTTTCTCCCGATCGATCGGTTTCTCCGGCTCCTTCTTAATTTCCTCCTGGGTAACGCGCGACTCCACCGCCATCTTCCTCCTACGGCCCGCGAGACTCTCGCTCTCCCGCGGTGGTTTTTGAGCACAGGTCCTTCCTGTGGGTTCCGTCCTGCAGCACTGCTCCGTGGACACAGACGAGTTCTCCTCTTTTAATTCTTCTTCCCTTGGAGGTTGAGGATTTTTTTACTAGTGCCTCCCAAGCAGTGCTGTCATCTCCTGGGCCTCGGATCCCCTCCCCCCCTCACCCTTCCTCATAGTAACTTTTGGCTTCCTCTCTGAGATCAGTTCAACACTCCTTTTCTGTTCTTCTGGGTCAGTTTGTTACCAGTTTGTGCAGAGGATCAAAGACTAGGTTAACCTAAAAGATGAGCAGCAAGAACAGAAAAACTACAAAGAAACCTCATATGAGGTGCACCTGGGTGGCTCAGTTGGTTCAGCGGCTGCCTTCGGCTCAGGTCCTGATCTCAGGGTCCTGGGATCCAGTCCCACGGCGGGCTCCCTGCTCAGCGGGGAGTCTGCTTCTCCCTCTGCCTCTGCCCCTCTCCCTGCTTGTGCTCTCTCTCTCAAATAAATAAAGGCAATCTCTAAAACAAACAAACCTCATATGCTATTCCTTGTATATACAAAGATATTTTCCCCATGGAGGAAATACAGTAAAAGAGGTAAGATATAAAAGCGCCAGTGTGAATCAGAAATTAAAAGAATTAAAAAGCTGCAAGGAACTTTAGGGTTCATCTCATCTACTCTCCTCATTTTGGGGGGCATGGACGTCAGGGATGGGGCGTGGTCCAAAGCCCAACAGCCAGCTAGTGACCTGTACCCATGTCTCCAGCTTGTAGCCAGCACACTTTCTCCTACGCCTTCTAGATTCCTGGGTAGGATTATAATGAAAATTCTCAGCCCTAGATATATGTCTCAGCTGCTGCTATGAGGCACTGTAGGATACTCTCATCACTCACATAGTTTTGTGCAAGGGGCTTCATTATATTCTTCAGTGATTTACCATTGATTAAGCATGGATATCTCTGGCTGAGCTTTCCTTTTTTTTTTAGTAGACTAGAGAAATTAATCTCTGTAATTCTGTGGAATGCATATCATTTTTGTATTACCTATGCTCCCCCCAGTTTTTTTAATTTTGTAAAACTTGTCTCTTCCCCCAGCAGTAGAATTGCAACCTTGCCAATGGACCTGATTGGTTTCGGTTATGCGGCCCTTGTGACATTTGGAAGCATCTTGGGATATAAGCGGAGAGGTAAGCCTTAACCGTATTTTTCATCCAAGGGACTTGGTGGGGAATTGGTGGTTGTGCTAAGATTATCTGAGGGTTTGTAAATAAGACAAGAAGCTGAAGATGTCCTAGAGGTGGCTGAGGACCAGCATGTCATGCGTGGAAGGGAGTCGAAGAGGGCAGGGGGGGCTGGGTGCGACAGAGCATTCCAACCCAGCTGTCTGGGTCTCTCTTCACGGGTCATTATCAATTGCATAATTAATTGACTTAACCTCCTCAGGGCTACTGGCTTATTATCAAGTGAGGATTTTTGTTTGTTTACATACTCAGTATCAAAACCTGAATTATGTTGGTACTGTGTTTTGCAAAGGAAAATTTGTTAAATACTTAGATATCCTATCTGAGGTTATCTCTTCATCTGTATCCAAAAGAGGAAAAAAAAAAAAAACCCAGTTGATAAGTTTTCATGGAAAAAAATGAGAGGTTCTATTTGTGACATTGGTGGGCTTCACCTTGAGTGAAAAAGCCAGGTCTACATAGTTATTAGAGTCATTATTTAACAGTTGCTAAGAAGTCCAAGGCCAGAAGCACAGGTCTCTGTAGGGACTGAGTGGTGGCAGGTTAAAATAGAGTATTTTCTAAGATTCCTGGGAACCTCTAATTTACTTAGACTTTTGTTTGTTGCTCTTACGTTCTCTCTCAATGTGTGTAGCATCCTCGATATGTATTCAGTGGAAAAATACGATGGCACCAAAGACCTATAAACCACTACTGATGTTTTATAATCTTCTTTGAAGAGGGCTCAGTTTAAAATTGATAGGATTGTTGTTGAAACACTTTTTCATTGTCAAAGATGTGTCTAAATAACTTCTGTGACGGAACAGAAAAAGCACCTCTGGACCTTTTTGCCTGCGTGTTAGAGGGGTGGGAAGAAGGAAGCGCGTGCATGCGTGTGTGTGTGTGTGTGTGTGTGTGTTGGGGCGGGTGGGGGAGGGGAGGAGAGGCAAGGATTACTTTACAGTTCTAAGCCAGATCTCTTCAGGAACAAATGCAATCACATTCTCTGTAAGGTTTTTGATTTCAGGTGCGTGTGGCTCAGTTGCACAATATGGTTCCTTGGCCTCCGACAGGAGCCCCCAACTAAGTGATCCTGGAAGCCCCTGGGGGTGTGTGTTCCAAAAGAAGCCCCCTCTTGTATAATGTAGGTTAAGAGCACAGGCCACAGAATCAGACTTTCCTAAATTCTGCTCATGACACTACTCCTTACTAGCTCGGATACTCATGTGAGTTGTTTTAACTTCTGGGCTTCACGTCCTCATTTGTATATTAATCAGTTAGGATTAAATAAGAATAATGCACGTAACACATTTCACATAGTGCCTGGCCAGAAGAAGGGTTTAATATTCTTGTTTCTACTGCCACTCCCTGCCAGTGGGAGAGTGTGTGGGCCAGTGGGGCAAAATACTTTTTTCTAGTTTTGTATTCTGTATAATGTTTTAAGCTGCTTGTGGTCCCAGCATCTTAGAGCTGTTGTAAAAGTGAATCAACTCTTTCTGTTTTTACTTAAAGCTTCCCTAGACATGAATCCCGTATAGTTCGGCCAGGAGACCCTTCCACGGGAGAGTTACTGAGAACAGTGCTGGATAGGTTAAAGATGTGATGTCAGAATGGTGTTTGGTAAGAGGACAAGTATATCAGAATCCTACACTAGACCAGGTGCCGGGCTTGGGTTGGGTCAGAGTGAGGGGCTGATAGATTTCTTCTCTTGCCAGGAGCAGAGAAAGGGGAGAGCGAAAGCACGGCGGCAGGATGCTGAGCACCAAGTTCTGAGGTCATCCCTCTCCCACATAGGTCCCCAGAAAAGTGCATAACCAAGAAGACACTATGATTCTGAGGCTTTTTCTGAGCCAGGTAGCCAGTGCCCAAAGCCAAAGATGGGCAGAAAGCTCACTTGGCCTTCTCCTGCACTGGGGCTGAACCTGACCTCGTACCTTCCTACTCCAGTTCAAGGTCAGGGCATAGCAGCCCCTCGGGAGAGGAGGGGAGCAGGAGAGCTTGTCAGGCAGGTGTCATGCCCTGAGGAAGGGAGGCCCCCATGTGCACCTTTCAAGTCCTTTGAAAACTCCTTGAGACTGCCCCAGCCACGTTGGCACTTGGAGGAAGGGGGGGTCGGCAGAGCTTGGAGCTGCTTCTTCTTTTTTTTTTGGTAGCCCCACCATAAACTGAGCTTTTTTTCAGGATCTGGCTCCCTTCCACCAGCCATAGCTTTCTTATGAGGTAGAGCCCCCCGTCCCAACTCCTTCCTCACGCAGGATGGGCTCTCCAGGGAGCCTTCCCACCTCTCATTCATATGGGCTGCTGGTGTGCCTGCCTGTCCCCGCTGTTTGCTGTCTGAGCTCGCCAAGACTCAGGTGCAGATGCTGCCCCTCCCTCCATATACTTAAGGTGGGGAGGATCCTAGCAGTGCAGAAATCGTCAGGGTGTACAGAAAAGAGTCAGAGATCTCTAAGTGAGAAGACACCTTAATTAAGTCATGCATTCCAGAAAATGCTTAAATCCCCTTAACTATTTTCTTAATCTGCCGTTTTCTGCTTAAACATGATCCATAACAGGGAGTGCCTGGGCATGCATTTTGTCAATGTTTATCGAGTGCTGCCAAGTACCCAGCACTCTGGCAGGTCCTGGAAAACGGCAGTGAGCAAAAAGAGACGGTGCTCAAAAGCAAGTCAGGGGGCTGACCGTAAATATGTGGACAGGTGTACAAATATATGATGGCGAATCGAGGGAGGCTCTGATGGGGGCCCTGTTTCAGAATGGTGGGTCAGAGAAGACATCTCTGAGGAGCTGACCCTTACAGAGAGATCTGGAGGTGAGCTGCAGTTGGCCAGGTGAACGGTGCAGGGAAGATCAGTCCAAGTAGGGAACAGCATGTCTAGAAGCCATGAATAATAAAGAGTTTGACGTATTCAGGGAACTGAAAGAAGGCCAAGGCTCCAATAATCGAGCAGACTTGGGTTTTTCCCTAAGTGCAGTAGGAAGCACTGAAGGTTTTTAATTAGAGGAGTGACCTGTCTAGATGTATGCTTTTAAAAAGACCATGTTGCCGTGTTTGCAGAATAGACTTGCGGGGAGGGAGGAACAATGAAGAATTTAACATTATCTCCAATTGTAACATTCTAAGCCTTTATATATTTGACATGGATGGTATTACTAACTCTGTTTTGCAAACGACAAAACTCAGAGAGACTAAGTGCCCTAGCCAAAGTCCTGCAGGCAACAGATGGAAGAATGAGGACTAGAACCCAGTGCGTGTGCCTTCTCATTCAGGATGCTGCTGTGTGTGTGTCTGTCTGTCTATCTGTGCGTGTGCACGCAATGGTTTTTAACCCTGGCTACAATCTGAATTTCCTATAGATATTTAAAACAGAGATGCCTTGACCCTACCCAAGGGATTCTAATCTGATAGATTCTAAATAGAGTGAGCTCCACGTAGCACCGACTGTGTGTGTGTGTCTTTTGCACCATGTCCCTGGCATGCAGCCCACTGCCGGCGTGCAGGAAGTGCTTGGTGTTCATCACCGTGCCCTGGGGCAGTGAATGAATGGGCTGGGGGGGTGGGAGTGTACTGGCTGGCTGGCTGGCTGGCTGTGTCAGTGCCCTGGCTCTTCCCATTTCTCAGTACAGTCACCATTCATCCCTGAGTTCTGTCATCTGGAGGCTGGAAGCTTTGTTAATTATTCAGGACAGAGCCATCACTTGCTTTGCACAGGACTTCTCTTTCTACCTCTATGAGCTTAAATACCAGTGCATCCTATTTTTATTATCACAACCTCAGAGTAAAAAGATGGAGGCAAGGAGAAGAGAAAAAAGAGAGAGAGAGAGGTGTAAAGAAGTCAGCTGATTGTCCAAAGTCATGCAATCAAGGCCCAAACCGCTACCACCAGACAGCCTTTCTTATTCACTCAGGCCATATCTAACCCTGGCATTGCTGTGTATTCGGGGTTCCTCTGCCTGGCATTTCGGGTTCAGCAGGGATCAGTCATATCTTAGAAACTGTCCATGAAGAGGCTGATATGTGATTTGGCTTTATCTAGTTACAATGCCCAGGTAGATGTACATTGGAAGGTGCATGTATCATACTTGAAGGAATGGAAGGAATTCCTTTCATTTGGGGATCCTCATTCTGAGCACGTTTTTTCTTTTTTTCCAGGCGGTGTTCCATCTTTGATCGCTGGTCTTTTTATTGGATTTTTGGCTGGCTATGGAGCCTACCGTGTCTCCAATGACAAGCGAGATGTCAAACTGTCACTGTGTAAGTAAGACATTTTTTCCAGTTATGAAGAAGGGTCGAACCTTGGGAGTGGCTGTTTTGATACCCTACACTAGGCATACTGGAAAACGTGCAACCACGTGGCAAGTGGGTATGCATGTGTCGAGACTGAACACAATTCTTGTTCCTTTCTAGACCCAATCACAAACAAGCAGTTAAGTAGTTCACATATATTTATTGTCATTTTGTTCTTTATATCAGCAAGTGATTTTTCCTTGAAAGCTATTCTGAAATTGTGACGTCAGCACCCTCATCTCTTACATAAAACGGTCTCTCTCCATATGGATTCAGCTCCTAAAAGGCTGGTGTGACGCTTCTGAGTTTAATATTATTGCCCAGACTGTTATTATTTAGCCTCCAGACATCCATTTCCCAAAATGCAGTGCTGCACATTAAAAACAGTCAGCCTTTTTCCTAGTATTTCCTTATTCATCAGGTCTTACTTACAATAAAAGATTCTGATTATTTACTTTCACCGAAATGAGCATTTATTAGGTGTCTCCTGTGGATCCAGACATACTGTCTAGTGTTCCTGAGGAAAGTTGAATGAGACACAGTCCTAGCCTTCCAGGAGGTTCTACCACCAGAAATTTAAGTTAGACAAAGACTTTTGAAGATATTTCAGGAATGGATTTTTAACGTGCTTGTTTACTCAGAAACCTTTTCAATAGGCTAGTTTATAAAGTCTTTTAAGAGAGCACTTTATCTTTTCAAGAAGATGGCAACTTAATACTTACACATAATAGTCGTTATATTAAAAAGCTGAAACAATGTTCTTTTTTTTTTTTTTTCTTGCCCAAGCAGGCATTGATAATGTGTTTGAAACTCTGGTTCATGCATTGGTTTGGTTTTTAGTTACAGCTTTCTTCCTGGCCACCATAATGGGTGTGAGGTATAAGAGATCGAAGAAAATCATGCCGGCTGGGCTGGTTGCAGGTTTAAGGTAAGAAAAACTATTTTTCTGTACTTTCTTCTACCATCATTTAGTGTTGACTTTTTGGCAAGAGTCAGTTTTAACTTGAAAAGGTCAAAGTAATTTTTGTTACAGTAAGCGTAACTGTAAACCCTTAAAATATCATGCCTGCAATCAGTCTTTGGTGTTGATGTACCCATGAACATTTTTGTGGAGTATATGTGTTGCTCTAGTATCTGACCACATGTACTCACATTTTTTAGAATAAATAACTGAATTCAGGGGCTCCTGGGTGGCTTAGTCATTAAGCGTCTGCCTTTGGCTCAGGTCGTGATCCCAGGGTCCTGGGATCGAGCCCCACATCAGGCTCCCTGCTCTCCCTCTCCCACTCCCCCTGCTTGTGTTCCCTCTCTCACTCTCTCTCTGTCAAATAAATAAATAAATAAATAAAATCTTAATAAAAACTGAATTCAGCCTCATTTTTCCTCAAGATTGACTCATCTGAAACAGTAAATATATTCATTGAAATCTGATACTCAGTCTCAGAGTGTTCGACAAAGTGATAGCCTACTACACTTAAAATTTTGAATTTTTAAGGGACAGTTAATATTAAAAAAATAAATAGGGAGTCTCCGATTTCTCTTAATTTGATCCCAGTAATTCTATCCATGAGATTAAGCATATTACCACATACAAATTTACAGGTAACATTTTTAATTCGTCCTGGAGGCAGCCTTTGTATGTTGAAAGCCTTAAACATGTTTACTTCTTTTGTTACACATTTTTACTTTTCGGAATAAAGAAATAATGAAATGTATACAAAGACTGGTGTTTATTGCAACTTTAATTCCAATGGGACACATGACGAACTAAAGAATTAGAAACAGCCTAAAAACTCACCAATAAGGAAATGTTTCAATAAGTGTTTTGTCTGCTTAATGAAATATTGAGCAATTAATGACACATTTTCAAAAACTATTTAGTGGCATTAGAACATCTTAATGATGCTGTGGGAGATAAAAGCAGAATAAATAATCAAATATAGTATGATCTCAAAAGTTTTTGTATAAAAAAACAAGATAGGAAAGATAGGCTTCAAACTGTGATAGTGTTTATCACTGGGTGATAATGCAATGAGTAAGTTTCTCCTTCCTACTTTTCTTTAGAATTTTCTCGTGTGGCTGTGTATCATGTTTATGACTTGGTGGGCGGGGGGTGGTGTCAGGGAGGAATGTGATTACAAAGGACTGTTTTCCAGTTATGGCTGTGTTCTAAAAATGATCCTTGGTAATAGAAGGAATCAGAAGTAGGGTTTATGGGTCAAGAAGAACAAGACCCCAGTCAGTGGAAAGTAGCTGAGATTGTAATAATAACACCCCAGAATTGCTCCTTGCTTCTTTTTTCAAGCCACTTGCCTTTACTAGCTTATGAAAGGTTTGTGTTCCTTTCCAAACTTTCTCTTACAAAGGTTCGCCCCAGATTTTCAGAATCGTGAGTTTTGATTTTGCTCATTCAGTCAATCAGCATTTTTAAGTGGCTAATTCAGCCATGTCTGGGAAGTTCCAATACAGAGATAATTATGGAGATCATCCCTGTTCCGAGGAGAAGAGAGCATCTTGGAAGCCAAAGTTTAGTAACAGTACAGGTTAGGTGAATATATACTAACCTCTGTTTTATGCCACGTAAGCGTGACCCACTCTTTGCCTTTCTTTTATTTTAATCCAGCCTCATGATGATTCTGAGACTTGTCTTATTGCTGCTCTGAGAATCCAAAGGAACTGAAGACTAAATTCATGTGATTCTACAGGCAGAGCATACACTTTGTATTTAAAAGATAAGCTTCAACGTGGAATGTTAAGTGTCTTATTTTACGTTAGAAACAACAGAAATGCTCCAAAATGAACACGAGTTTGAGGGATTTTTTTTAAACCAAAAACTCAGCTGTTTTCTACTTGTCAGATAATGATTTTGTTAAAGATATTTAATAAATCATTATACACGCTTTCATTTACTGTGTCTACTTTTATATATGTGAAGTTTTTTTTTTTTTGACAATTCCAAATACTCATGTCTGATGTTTAAATTAAACTATAAGTTCCCAGATAATGGAATGCCAGAAGTGAACTTTACAAAATGCTGATGTAGCTGCTTGTCATTTGTGTGATATTAGAAATTATAGTTCTTCCATTTTAATTTTATTGCTGCCAGTGTTATTTTTCCCTTTAAAAAAACTCTATTCTTAGCACTCTCTGTGTACTAACAGAATGTATTCAGTATTCAAATAAAATGCATTCTGTTTTAAACCTGTTTCTCTCATTTTAATGTCCTCTCTCTATACTCAAATCATTTTCAACATTTAAATGTTCAATTATTAACGAAAGAGATTGGGAATTCTTCCTCAGGAGCAGATATTTTCCCTTGCTGGAACAATGGAGATAATATTGTAATAATTCTGAAACAAAAATGATTTTGTCCATTTTGTCCCAAATCACTTCATTTTTAGGCAGAATTATGACAGTGTCCGCAGCACTTACTTTTAGGCCGCAGACTAAACATCAAGAGACTTGAGTTCTAGCCCGGTTCTCCCACTAACTGGTTATAGGTTCTTTGGAAAGTCATTTCCTCTCTCTGGGTCTCAGTTTCTCATCCATAAGGAGGAATTTGAACTAAATGGTTGATGAGATCCCTTAAAGCTCTAAAAATCCGCAATTTTGATCCTGTTGCCTCTACTCCATGGTGTCAGATTATAAACCCATTCTTTATGTGAAATGGTGGGTAGAGCCCCAATTGGTAAGACCAGAATTGATACTGTTGTGTTCACTTCCCTTTCCTAGCTGACTTTCAAGGAGGTTATTAGACTTCCAGTGATAAGTAATTCAATTAAGGGAAGAAAGGAAGGGAAGGGAAGAAGGGAAGGGAAAGGAAAGGAAGGGAAAAAAGAAAGAAAAGGAAGAAAACCTACCAGTTTAACCAAAAGGAAGGATGGAAGGAAGGAAGGAAAGAAAGAAAGGAAAGGGAGAGAGAAAGAAAAAGAACCTACCAGTTTAACAAAATAGAAAACCCAGACAAAATCCTTTGATACACTTCAAAAATATTCTACTTTAAAAAATCCCACTTATCCTAATGGTGCTAAAGAGGTTGTTAGCACAAGCAAAGTTGGAAAAAGTGGTTTTCATTGGGTGCTGTGTGTACTATCAGAGATGATTGAGAAGACCCTTCAGATTTGGATTGACAGTTTATACTCATGATTATGATACAAAAGTAGAAACTGAAATTGATTATAAAGATATATGCCATATCTGTAAAATACTCTAGTGATTGAAAGTTTAAGAAACTAGGGGCTCCAGGGTGGCTCAGTAGGGTTAAGCATCTGCCTTTGGCTCAGGTCATGATCTCAGGGTCCTGGGATTGAGTCCCGCATGGGGCTCCCTGCTCAGCGGGGAGTCTGCTTCTCCCTCTGCCTCTGCCCCTCCCTCCCACTCATGTTTTCTCTCTCTCTCTCTCTCTCTCTCTCACAAATAAAATCTTTAAAAAAGATGATAAAATCTAAAAAAAAAAAAAGTTTAAGAAACTAGCTTGAAGCTATGCCATGTCCAGGACTTTTCTCAAACGGGTGTGGAGTGTTTTGTTTTTTAAAGAAGTCCTTGGGCGCCTGGGTGGCTCAGATGGTTAAGCGTCTGCCTTCGGCTCAGGTCATGATCCCAGAGTCCTGGGATCGAGTCCCACATCGGGCTCCCTGCTCCTTGGGAGCCTGCTTCTCCCTCTGCCTCTCTCTCTGTTTCTGTCTCTCATGAGTAAATAAATAAAATCTTTAAAAAAAAATAAATAAAGAAGTCCTTGATATCCACTGACTTACTTATGATTTTACTCTTTTGCAATAAGTAGAATGCAGAAGAATCTTTGGATGATTCTGATTCATTGGTGTTTTATTGATTTATGGAAAAGGGTTGTCCGATTTACAAAGTATTTGGTAGTTTATTTCCTTTGGCTTGTTATTACCTTATTAAAGTGTTCTTATATCTTTCTGGGCACTGCTGTGAATGCAAAGTGAAACATTTGAGAACTCTTCACTTGTTAATACTCAGCTACTATATAGTGCCCATGTTTTTGAGAAACATGCCACGTTCAAATTTGAATATGTTCATCACGGTCTCAATGGAGCCTTCATCTAGTGGAGGCTTCCTTTGGCTTCCAGGCTGCAGAAATTTGCAAACTGTGGGAATTGTAGCCGATTCTGGCCTTGAATTCCTAAAATGCAGAAGTATACTATCCATGAGAAGAGAATATGGCAAAATAGATAAAATATAAATGATGTATATTTTTGCATGTGACAGAAAGTGTGTAAAAATTATATTCCTCGTGGTTGGTAGAAACAGGAGATAAAATGGAATTTTCATACATCATATGGCATTGTGAAGCGACGCTACCCTTGTACAAAGTAAGTTAACAATATTTCTCAAGAACCACAAAAATGTTCATAGGCTGTAACCAAGTGACCCCATTTTTCAGATTGCATCCTAATGATACTATCTTAAATGTGGAAAAATGTATACCCATAAAGATGCTGTTGCAACATTATTCATAAAAGCAAAAATTCCAGAGTATCCTGATATATAACTAATAAATAGAAGTCCTCATGTCATAAGGATTTTTCCATGTCGTTATGTAATCTTGGAAAGTACACCTTTAGGTGGCTGCATAAAATTCTACCCAATGGATGTGTCTTCATTTATGTAAACCCTTCTCAGGTATTGAATATTTAAGTTGTTTATGATTTTCAGCATTTAAAATAAGGTTATTCTGAGCACAGCCCATGGAATATAATATAATCATGAAAATTTTCAAAAATAGAAGACTATGCTGTATCCAAATGAGGTGGACTACATAAAAATACCCAAATATGCTTATAACATAATGTGAAGTGGGAAATTGAGGCTGCAGAATTACCACAACTTGGACAACAACCATTTTAAATAATCATATTTTTAAAAGGTTAGCAAGGGGGGCGCCTGGGTGGCTCAGTCAGTTAAGTGTCTGCCTTTGGCTCAGGTCATGATGCCAGGATCCCGGGATCGAGCCCCGCCTCGGGCTCCCTGCCCAGCAGGGAGCCTGCTTCTCCCTCTGCCTGCTTCTCCCCCTGCTTGTTCTCTATCTGACAAATAAATAAATAAAATCTTTCTTAAAAAAATAAAAGGTTAGCAAGTAATCCACCAACATAGCAAAGTGTTTTAGAACTGAGGCCACAGAATCAGTCAGGCCGAGGGTTTCATCCTGGTCCCATCAGCTGCTGACCGTGTGACTTGAGGGAAAGTTCTTTAACCTCTTGGAGCCATGTTACCTTTTCACTTTGAGGATGGAATAACATCAATGCAGTAATGTGCCTTCAGTGCTTGGTACAATGCTCGGCACCTAATAAGAGTATAGTTGATGGCTATGGTTACTGTTAAATAATGGCTCTGTGAGGGTGATAATATCTTAAATCTTTTCCTGTCATTTTATTGAGGTTCTACATTCAGGGCAAAACCTTTGAGACTGAAGGCCTGCCAGAAGTCGGCCTCGGATCCCCACGCTGGCCCCGATGACCCTCATCTGCTTTCCTATGCCACTTTATTTTTAAATTTACTACCTTATATTGAGGTTTTCTGTCTACGTGCTCATCTCGCCCGCTAGGTGGGTTCCTTGAGGGCATCTGTATCTTTAGCACAGGTCTTGGCATAAAGAAGTTAGCAGGGTCTTCAATAATAATGAACGACTGGTTGAAAGAATAAGTGAATGATACAAGTTCGTCCTTCCTGAAGTTCCTGGGAGTTATTTGGATAGCATTACCTGTAGCAGAGGGAAGCCTGCGAGGACACTGGGTTTGCCCTCTTCAGCCATTAAGTTGACTTCGGGGAGCTGTATATCGGCCCAGCTCAGCTGATCGCCCACAAGGAAATCTTGCCCGTGGTCTCTTAGAGCCCGCATGACAGTTGAGAAGAAGGTAGAGGATTTAAGGGCATTAAAAATAAAAAATAAATAATATCAATTAAACAATCCATATGATTAGGCTATAAAATTGTTGATATGATAAATATATTCAAATGTATATACTAAATCATTAATTAGAACCATTGTTACTCAACCCAGAAAGGATGGATTAAACCAGCAGATAACTTAAAGTCAGGGTGATTTGACAGAAAGTCTTCTAGAAGTTTAGAGACCTGGCTCCTCATCTTGGGCGCTGGCCAGCTGTGTGAGCACATATAAATCCCATCTCTGAGGGCTTCAGTTTGTTCATCAAAAGAGGTGGGATAGCTTGGGTCCTCCTGAGTATCCTGAACCTGGAAATAGGCTGATCTCACACACCTTTGTCTTCTTTTCATTACATCCCCTGCACCTATTCTATGAACGTTTACAGAATAATTTTACCCCCATAGCCTGGATTGGTGGTCCTCCTGGGTCTGGGATGATAATTCTCTCCTCACACCGTCTCAGGTCAGGATCCTTATTAGGATGCTGCTCTATGTGGGAGAACATCATTCTCCCAGGGACCCACACCCCATTTCTACAAGCAGATTTTCTTCTAATGGGGCTCTGACTTATAGGTCACTTTGAGTCAAAATCAACTGAAAATAAAAGGTTGGAGAAGAAGGTCATTAAGGTATTGTCTAGCCCTCAAACTCTCTGATTTTGTGATGCTTGGACATGGGATCAGGAGTTAGAGAGACCAGAGTGTAGGCCCTAGTGTGATTAGTTGTATGACATCAGGCAAGTTACCTTGCTTCTTTAAGCTCTGGTTGCTTCATCTGCAAAATGGGGATAACAATGGCACATCTTCCATGGAGTTATGAAGATGATGTGGGATCATGCATGCAAAATGCATTGCACAGTGCTTAGCACATAGTAAGCACTTAGCAGAAATGAACCATCAGATGATTAGCTCTGTTTTGGTGATGATGCTGATGTTGATACTATTTTTAGCCACAAGAGAAGTCTCTTTTCTTCATAGTATCTCACAACAAAAACTTAAGTCACTGGGAATAGTGATGTTAAACATTCATTCCATTGTCTATATTAATAAAACTATAAGAAAAAAATTGCTTAAATTATATGCTAATTACAATGGAATAGATTATTTTTTAATTTCAAAGGAATGATACCAAGAAAGCCTGAGGTATAGAATATTCATATTTTGATCCACCTTCCATCTTGGACCAAGGGGACTGATACCTCACTAAATGT